GTCCCCAGCACCGGGAGTGTCCCCAAAACCGGGAGTGTCCCCAACTCCGGGAGTGTCCCAAACTCCGGGAGTGTCCCCAGCCCTGGCAGTGTCCCCAGAACCGGGAGTGTCCCCGGTCCCGGGAGTGTCCCCAGCCCTGGCAGTGTCCCCAGCCCCCCGAGTGTCCCCAGAACCGGGAGTGTCCCCAAGCCCGGGAGTGTCCCCAGCACCGGGAATGTCCCCAAGCCCGGGAGTGTCCCCAAGCCCGGGAGTGTCCCCGGTCCCGGGAGTGTCCCCAGCCCCCCGAGTGTCCCCATCCCCGGTGGTCGCTGCGGCTGCCGGGGCCCCCCGGCCGCTCCCCCGAGCCCCTCCCGGGACATCCCGTGCGGCCTCGGCTGCCGCCACCGGGGACCCTCGGAGAACAACGGCGACCCCCGGAGAACGCGACGGCGACCGCGACAACGCCCCGAGGAGCACGACCGGGAACCGGGGGACAGCGGGAGGGGACACCGGGGGTCCCTAGGGGTGGCCCGGGCGGGGGTCGCGCTGTGCCTGCGGCTGCTCGGGGCTCTCCTGGCTCTGCTGCTCCTCTTCCTCCTCCTCCTCCTCGGGGGGCTCCGCTCGTTGTTCCGCGGGGGCTCCGCGGGGCTCCGCCGCTGCCGGGAGCTGTTGGGCGAGCGGCTGCGGCGGCGCCGGGGCCGCTCCGGTGTCACCGAGGAGGAGGTGACGCGTTTGGTGGCCATGGCCGGGGTGACCGAGGAGGAGCTGGACCCGTTCCGGGTGCTCGGTGTGGAAGCCACGGCCAGCGACAGCGAGCTGCGCCGGGCTTACCGGAGACTGGCGGTGCTGGTGGGTGACACCCCGCGGGGGGGGCTTGGGGACACCGCGGGGACACCGCGGGGACACCGAGGGGACACCGAGGGGACACCGAGGGTCGTGTCTGGCCAGGTGCACCCCGATAAGAGCCGAGACCCCCGAGCCGAGGCGGCGTTCAAGGTGCTGAGGGCGGGATGGGAGAGGGTGAGCAGCCCCGAGAGGCGGCGCGAGTACGAGACGTGAGTTTGGGGTGAATTCCCGGGATTTTGGGGTGAATTCCCGGGATTTTGGGGTGAATTCCCGGGATTTTGGGGTGAATTCCCGGGATTTTGGGGTGGGATGGGAGAGGGTGAGCAGCCCCGAGAGGCGGCGCGAGTACGAGACGTGAGTTTGGGGTGAATTCCCGGGATTTTGGGGTGAATTCCCGGTTTTTTGGGGTGAATTCCCGGTTTTTTGGGGTGAATTCCCGGGATTTTGGGGTGAATTCCCGGTTTTTTGGGGTGAATTCCCGGTTTTTTGGGGTGAATTCCCGGTTTTTTGGGGTGAATTCCCGGGATTTTGGGGTGAATTCCCGGTTTTTTGGGGTGAATTCCCGGGATTTTGGGGTGAATTCCCGGTTTTTTGGGGTGAATTCCCGGGATTTTGGGGTGAATTCCCGGGATTTTGGGGTGAATTCCCGGTTTTTTGGGGTGAATTCCCGGGATTTTGGGGTGAATTCCCGGGATTTTGGGGTGAATTCCCGGTTTTTTGGGGTGAATTCCCGGGATTTTGGGGTGAATTCCCGGTTTTTTGGGGTGAATTCCCGGGATTTTGGGGTGAATTCCCGGTTTTTTGGGGTGAATTCCCGGGATTTTGGGGTGAATTCCCGGTTTTTTGGGGTGAATTCCCGGGATTTTGGGGTGAATTCCCGGTTTTTTGGGGTGAATTCCCGGGATTTTGGGGTGAATTCCCGGTTTTTTGGGGTGAATTCCCGGGATTTTGGGGTGAATTCCCGGTTTTTTGGGGTGAATTCCCGGGATTTTGGGGTGAATTCCCGGGATTTTGGGGTGAATTCCCGGGATTTTGGGGTGAATTCCCGGTTTTTTGGGGTGAATTCCCGGGATTTTGGGGTGAATTCCCGGGATTTTGGGGTGGGATGGGAGAGGGTGAGCAGCCCCGAGAGGCGGCGCGAGTACGAGACGTGAGTTTGGGGTGAATTCCCGGGATTTTGGGGTGAATTCCCGGGATTTTGAGGGTGAATCCCAGAATTTTGGGGTGAATCCCGGGATTTTGGGGCAGAATGCCGGGATTTTGTGGTGGGAATTCCGGTTTATCCCATTTTTTGGGCTGTATATCCCATTTTTTGGGGTTCCAATCCCGTTTTTTGGGGTTCCAATCCCATTTTTGGGGTTCCAATCCCATTTTTTGGGGTTCCAATCCCGTTTTTTTGGGTTCCAATCCCATTTTTGGGGGTTCCAATCCCATTTTTTGGGGTTGCAATCCCATTTTTGGGGTTGCAATCCCATTTTTGGGGTTCCAATCCCATTTTTTGGGGTTCCA